TTCGTCTTCGCTCTTATTATAGTTGTAACTGTTCAGTCCTTGCCTCGACCGATATGAACACGAAGAGCTTTCGTGTTGGACCATTTAGAATATTTCTTGCAGTAGATACAGTTGAGTACCGTCTTATTGCTTGCATTTTTAAGTTCTGTAAAGTGGTCTGTTCTGACCTTGTCAGTCTGACGGACTATCTCACTGGAGTTGTTCACAATATTTACTAGAGAGGACTAATACTTCTTTACACTAGAGTGCTAGACACTGGTACAGATCTTACTCTCGCGCCTTGACTCGCGCTCGTCAAAATTTGGGATGAAACTGTTAAATTCGATATGTCATATTGAGCCAAAATCCATATCCGTGAGAATATAGACGTTAGGCTCATAGCGTAAACGTACTACGTTTTCACGTTTACGAAATGATCCTAAACGTAATTAAGCTTTACGTCATGAGACCTGGTCCGTGACCGTCAGCCTGTCAGGCGTCAGCCTTGTTTTTTTCTTCTCTCTCTCTCTTCAGTACGTAGAGGCAGTTAGGCCGAGCCTCACCGAGGGTCAAGCGTCCGCCATAAAAATAAAAATGTACAAAAATTGTTTTCGACCATTCAATTACATAGCCTCCTTCTAATAAGACATTCGACCATAGACATTCGACATTCATTTGTGTACTTGTAATTTCTGGATGTTGTCAGTCGGTCAGACCGTCAGTGGTCAGCAATCAGCCGGGTTCTCACGGTGACGCGGTAAATAGGTCTCGCCTAGTAGCGGTTATACGTCTCAAATCTCAACTCTCAACTCTCACGCGTCGGTGGCAAATATATACTGGACCACTGGTATTATTGTGCTTGGAGCCTAGTTTCAACACAGGTTGTCTGGTATTAGCACTTCTCTCTCAGTCTCTTGACCTTTTTGCGACTAACACTCGGTCTTCTTTTTAGTTTTCGGTCTCTTCTCATATTTTGAGTCGTGAGTCGTGAATCTCGTGGCTCGTAAAAATAGTGACTCCCGAGCTTCGAGACAACTACAACCTCAGTCACTTTTACTAACCGATTAAGCACAGGTGTATATACGTATACGTATATATATATATATATATGTGTGTGTGTATATGTATATGTACATGTATACGTGTATATATGTATATACATATATATATATATAAATATAAGTATGCATATGGATATATATCTATGAATAGTTATTTATATAAATATATATTTATATATATATTAATATTTATCTATGTATGTATATATAGCTATGCATATTTATCTATATATACAGATCTACGTACACAACGATAAATATATATATATAAAAATACTTATAAATATATACATATGTATGTAAATATTTATATATATATATACAATATATATATATATATATGTATATTTTATATATATACATATATATATATATATGTAAACACGGAATAACTTTGAGATCGGAATAAATGTACGAGTTGGCAATAATCAATACTCGTACATACGCTGAGCGTTGTCTATTCTTATTTTATGCTTTTCAGTTGGTATGGATGCCCAATTGTATCGATAGCCTTCAAGGAATTTCCTTTTTGAAATAGTACACAGGATGTTTGCATATTTGGAATATGGCATGAGCAAGAAGTCACTTGTATCTAAATGATTTTGACTGTGAGCCAACCATCTGCTCGAGTACCGCCGCAAAATCATTAAAACATTTGGGACATACACCACTTTAAGACTTCAGTATCTGTGTCTTGACATACAGAATGTCCTAGGAATAAAAATTGAGAATTGTATTGAAAATAGCAAACAA